AAAAATAAAATAAAAATAAATAAATAAATATTGCTATCACCATAATATTGCCATAATTTTTATAAACATAGATTAATTACCAACATACTATATTATTAATAGCTGGTAAACTAAACATTATCCATAGATTTTGGATAATGATCCATAGATAATGTTTTCAAGCTTGATATTATTATTTATTTTATTTTAGTCTTGACTCAGTTGACTCTGTAGGTACCTAAAGAAAAATAGAAATTCACTACGTACTTAATATTTATGTATGCATGGATTAAATACACCTTGGAGGGCGTGGAAGCAAACCACCCTCCACGAAAACGCCAAGTTTAATATAGTGTTTAGTATGAAAAAAAAAAAAAATAATAACCTCTGGAGTACAGCTGTGTTGGCTGTACGAATAGTGCTAAAATGACGAATCGTTATGACTTAAACTTAACAATTGTTAAAAATATATAAATAGTAACTGCTGAGTGCTGAKTGACTGTCCATATAAGATATAAAGGCAAAACTCCCGTCAATAGCCATTCATCAAATTTACTCATTATACTATAATTGTACCTATAATATTTGTGTAAATTGTAAATTATTTTTTAATAAAATAAGAAAAGTCGTAACTGTAAAATAACGTTGCCTAATATGCAATTCAATAAAYACTTCTCAACTATATTCAATATATTTCGACTATTCAACACAACTCACAATAATTTTTAATTCGTGACATKAGGTGTTAGTCACAGCTCACAACATTTATAAAGTAGTTTAAACTTATTTAATGAAAACAATATAATCGGAAAACCGAAAAATATAATGGGTATATATTATAGTATTTACACTCATAATATTATTTGTGATTTGAACGTATATTATTATATCCTATATATATATAAATATATATTTATTCGAACAATATATTAAGTACTAAGTAGGTATATTCAATCGGTAAAGGTAATACATTCCTATAAACGGTTGTTCGTAAAATGGTAAAATGTATAATGACACAAAAATGCAACAAAAAAAAAATAAATATATATCGAACAACATTTGAACTCAAATCTATAAAACGCAATTATAATTGAGGAATTTGATTAAAGTTCGTTCTATTCTGCTTAAATATCCACTAATCTGAGTATCTGACCAATAAAAACGTTATGTTCTAAAWCTWTACGAAAAAAAAMTCCAAATAAAATGTATCACACTATTAGTTAAAATTTGTAATGCTAAATTAGACTTTATCGTGGAGGAGAAAAAATTGTAAGACAAAAAGAGAGAAAGAAAGAGAATCTGGGTAAGATAAAAAGAGAGGAGTGGAGAGAAAGAAGAGGTAAAGAGAATAGAKAGAGGGAAAAAGAAACAACAGTTGTATAATGATTAGAGGTGACATGACGGTGAGCGATCACGACGTCTGATTTGCTTTGATCATCTTTCTTATACCTCTTYCTCTCTCTTAATATATCATTAAATTTATAACAATAATAAATTAAATACGTTAAATTCCATTAAAATGTCACTTTTTTCGATGACTTCTTTTTGAAAGAGCTAACTGATTCTGTGAGCGCTTCGTTGTCAGCGAAGAGCGCCTTCAGATTGGCCGAGCGCTTTTGGCGGGCAGCGTCCCGTTCTACGATGCCGTCCAGCTCGTTTTGTATGTCTAACAGGCGGGCCTTGGACTTGCGYGCCCTGGCCTCGGCCGCCAGCTGGCCGGCCGACTGTTCGTCAGCCGCCTCCTGTAGATGCGCTTTTAACGCGGCTGACCGCCGGTTGTTGGCATGCAGTTCGGCCGTGGCCACCACGTCCTCCGCGTCCTGGAAGAAAGACTTCGTCCTCTTCTTGTAGATCTCGTCCTCCAGAGCCTCCTGCGACCTGCTGTTCAGCCCAACCGTGTCCAACAACTTCTCCGTGTAGTTGAGCCGCGCCAACGGCTTGCCGTCTGACGCGAACCCGTTGAACGCCGACTCGAAGTCCTTTTCCAGTGACGCCGTCCGGGCAGCTGCCACCTTGGCGGCACGAGCCCGGCGCATTGCGGCCACCTGAAACACAGCAACCGACACACATTCGTTATTAAAATGGCATTAAATCATATGATAAACAAACGAAAATAACGTCATCACTCATCGATAAACTCAATGCATAGATACCGCGGTATTATGTAGTTTCATCAGTCGAATTTTAAAATCGTTCGAATTTACAATACAATTGTAACTGAATAGCTTGGGAGTAATATTCAAGTTTAAATGAAGTGGTATATTTGGGATAATTTTTCAGGGGAGAGGGGGAGGCTAAATACAAATATTACTCACTATTACAATATAAGGCAATTCAAATGCAATAGTTTACTTTTATTTTTTATTTAGTTATGGTTTGTGGAACTGCTTCAAACTAATAATAATTTTGAATTAATAATGCTCATAATAACGAAATTTAATTTATGATTACAGCTTCCGCAAAACAGTAAAAAAAAAAGTCTTGGGAAGAATGCTCCTRTTTCCTCCCTTTTAAATATACCACTGGTTTTAAAGAGTTTTTACTATTTTTAAATAGTGCTTAGGTACCTAAAATATTACTCATATTGCAAATTTTGTTACGTATGTGATACGTTTGAATAATACGAAAATATATTGTGTACAGTGTCATTAGTGCCAATTTAAGCACTTAATTTTAATAATATAAGTTTAGTGAGAAAAAATGTCCACCTTTTTATAGCTAAATTATAATGTAAGGAGTTTTTCTATTTTGAGGATAAACTTACAAGTTGAACAACTAAGTCTGTCCAAGTGTGTGTGTGTGTTTTATTAATTATGATTAATCAGTTAATTTAACCCCATTTACCACCAAATCACAGAAGGAGCAATCATTATTTTGTCACATAAAATATAACTTTGTGCTGTATTTATTCATTTAAACCCGAGGCATTTAGTTCATTCAATAAGTACCTATATAAATTTAGATAGAAAAGATTATTTTAGATTGTATAAAAAAATGCAGCTTATGATGATTTGTTCAACTCCAGAAAAAGTAATRAGTATACAAGATCTCGAGAGCGCTCCGAACATCTGGAGCAAGATATTTACGTAAACATCCAAAAAGTAGTAAAACAAACATAATAATAGTTGATAATTTTTACGGAATTATTTTTAAAAAATACTTGTTATTAATGTTTATTTTTCATAAAATATATTATTGTGACCTAGTCATTAATGTTATCAAAAAACTAATTTATGCTCATACAAACTTAATGGATTTTACATATAAGTACCCTATAAAATTAATGTATCTATATATAATATATATATATATATATATATATTAGATTGATATGATTTAATAATATATAGTAAGAATCTTATTATTTTAATCGTTATTTATAAACTTATACAGTTATACCTAATACCAAATAATTACCTATTAAAATAATATAGAAAATAATATTTTTATAGGTGTCCAGTGTCCATAATCTAACACTTAATTATAGCAGGTCAATATATATATGTATATATATATATATATATATATAACATTTACGGTACACATTATTAAGTATATACAGGTAGGTATATTTCTAAAATTTTTTTTTTTTAATTATCCCGCGGCAACTAAGGCCATTGGGAAGGGGGTAGTACTGTAGGTTCTTATGGAACTGTTGGTTGGTTTTACACGTGGGTGAGAGTTTTTGGCAGAATTTCTATTGAGGCACCCGTAGGTTTCTGCCATGTCCCGGAGTGGGGGATGGCGGCACTTGTTCTCCGGACACCGTRACTTGCCCGGAGAAAAATGCCGCCCGATGGTCGAGGAATTTCTAAAATTGTATTCATAAAACAATKTAAACCATTCATCATTGATTATTTTTATTCCCATTTAAATGTTAGAAAAAATACAATGCCAAAAATAGATTTTAAAAATACGAATCAGATTTTCATACACTTTGACATCCTTTTATTTTGGAAAAGTCCAAGGTGTTAATTATAAATTTAGCTGTATGGACGTATGGTTACATAATATGTAATAATATATCATATTATGAGATATGTAGTATATCATAGTTAGATCATATTAGATAATATGTAGTATATCATAGTTAGATTATACGTTTTTACTATCAGTCAATTATTTTCTTATAAGTTATAACCAAAGGTTTGCTTAACCGTTTTCAGAGTTTTTTATTTTTATTTTTGATTGATATTTAAGATTAAGATTTTATCGTAAGTAGCTTAGGTTTAAGATAACGACGTATATGGATATGGATACCAATTGACACAATTCATACCGACAATTTACCAGCAGGCCTATCATAACATCGTATGATATACTGCATCCGTGCATCATAACTGTTATTTTCTTAACGTTTTTAGCGACCTATTTACTAATTATTATAAATTTTACATTCAAAAAAATCAAAGGTGTTTGCTCCTCCCCCGAGAGGGTAGCGATCATCGTGTTGTATTATAGAGTACAAAAACTGACGTCTATTATATTATTATACTAATACTAGGTATATTACATGACAGTACATTGAGCTGCACTGAGTAATTGCCATACTGATACTGTCACTGTAACTAATACCAGTTTTTCATAACTATACTATCGAAAATAGAACTATGTACTTAATATAATATACTTTTTATACATAAGATTAAAATAATGAAATAACAATAAATTATATGTAAAAGTTTACTATTGTCCCCACATGGAGAAGGCTGTTGGACCTGGAATACAGTGGCCCTGCTACTTAGAAGGGAATCGTTGAAATGAATTTATGATTTTTGAAATTGTGAAATTGTGATAGGAATAATTTTATATCAAATAATAATTTACGGAGACCACAAAAATATTTAGCTTATAATCCCAACATTTTTAATTTTTATAAAATAAAAATTTGGATTAAGGAATTTGGTAGATCATTATACAGCTTATGCTAAAAGAGGTACCTACTACCTACGCACAACTGGGAATTGTATGACGATCTAAAAAAAAACCAATTCCAGTTAAGGAAAACAGCATATAATATTATGTGAATTTTTAATTTATACTATATAAATTAAAAAAAATTTTAAACGATGTAAGTACACATATTTTAATATGTAAATATTTTATTACTTAAAGGTACATGTGTAAGTACATTTTATTTTAATCCAATTTAAATATACAATATAATATATTTACAATTATTGTGTTAAGTTATTTTATTATTAAAAATGAAAACTGTTTGAAAATTATTGTTTTTCTTAAATGTTCTGATTTTAAAACAATTTCATAATTGGTATTTTTGAATTAAAAAATGTTAAAGTTTATTTTATAACAAACATTTTGACGTTAGTATATTATGAAATGAGTGTTGGGAATGAATGCCATCAATCACTATTCACTAAATTAATTAGAAAATTAGAGCTTGGTTGTTAGATAAATTTGTAAAACTCATAACATTTCATAACCAGTTTAAAAAAATGTATGGTAATCACTAATAATCTTCTTTTAAGTGTGGAAAAGTATTCATGATTACAATAAATAATTAAACGTGACATTGACTTAACGAATATGATACGAYATACTATATAGAGTATCATAATCAATATAAAATATTAAGAATTCACTTTTGCACYTTATGTCGTTACTCGTTAACGTATTATAACAATGATATAGGTAATAAAGGGGATTTGCATGATGTCAGGGGCTTGGATGTAAATAGGTTATGTAAATTCACTCTAATTAAAAACATACCTAGTAATATAGTACATTTATATAGACTGATTTCATGAATTATTTATTGTTGTTCTTAATATACAATGATTAAATAATATTATCTTAGGCAGCAAACATACAAGTTATTGAGTTCAAACTTCAAAATAAGGCTTTTTTGTGAGGTTTTGTTGATAACCACGATATTTTGCAGTATAAAGGGGTGGCAAAATAGGTAAAAGGAGGCATAGCACCTTGTACTTGGGGCTTTGGGCGTACGGCTTCGAAATAKATCACKCAAATTCACGCTAATTATTAGGGTGGAAAAAACCCTTAACACTTAAAAGCTGTTTGAGGGGGGCTGTAGAAATATTTCTATAACCCCCTACCCTATTTTTACTTTTGAAGTTGATCTGGTGCCAAGCAAATTTTAAAATTAGTCATGCCAATTYAAGCTAACTGTACGCTAAATATTAAACCAAAAWTTTTTTTGAAAATTGAAATGGGGGGGGGGCTTGTGAACGTACGTTCAAAACTAGAAAAAATATTAAAATCAAAAAATTAGTGAAAAATAAATTTTGAAACGTCAATAATTTCTGAAAAATAAACTCTACAAAATGGCTATAGTCAATTTTTTTGTAAATAATTAAATAAAAAAAATATATTTTTAAATTTTTACCTAAACATTTAAATTAAATTTAAAAATAATATAATTTTAGGTCTTATCCCTTTGAGTCTTATGAAAAAACCAGAATTTTGATATCTCCATTATTTCGTGAGATATCACAATGGGTAAATTCACAATGCGTTCTGCATGTATGTTGTACCTACCAAACATTAAAGACCASCTAAATTTACTTGTCGAATACATTTTATAATTCTCCTGAACGGCTRCTGCACTGCCTCTTAAGTTAACATGTGCCCCATATACTTAACAAGTATTTGATACCAATTTAATACAGAGCAAAATCGTACTTAATTTATAGCGATCTATGCATAATATATCATAAATGTTATCGGAAGCATTTACCTCTTGTTCGAATTCGTCATCGGGTAACGACAATCTGGAGTCGGATCCGCTGAGCCGGGACCGTGCCGGTGACGAAGATCTATACTCGTCAAAAGCTGACGAACCGGAAGTTCCAAACAGGCTTTTCGGACTGGAGTCGAAGAATCCGGTCGCGGGCTTGGCTGCGGCTGGGGCGGCCGAAGAACCGTAGTACTTGCGGTCCAGGTGGTCCATCATTGGCTTATAATAACCCTCGCCGATGTTGTAGTTGCAGTCGTACACCCGGGTCCGGGGACGGCTCAAGAGTGTCCGTTTTTCTGACATGCTGCTGTTTAAGTATTACTGCGCAAATAAATAATTAAAAATAATATATAATATTATGTATGTAGTATATCGAGAATTTATTAAATATAATAATAATATTAATAATATAAAACGAGTTATTTTTTTTAACAAATGATTGTTACTATAAACAAAATAAAAATACATTTTTAAAAATATTATTAAATATGCATTTATATTTGGAAATTTACTAGCTGAAGGCTGAACCCGTGCGCTTCGTAGCCCTTCAAAAATYYTACCTCTTATATGGTTCAAAATAAATAAATATAAATTAAATTCCTTTCATGTAATGATGCTAGCAAGTATAAAAATATACATATAATTAGATAGATAACGGTTAAAATATATTAAGTAATCATCTWACAACGACATTCAATTTAGTTATATCACTGTGTAATTTTTTTCGTTTTATTAGTTTTATTAGTCTGAAAGTTCAAATATCCAGTTTAATGATATTTAAGCCTATCATTTTTTAACTTAGCCTATCTTCTGGCGTTAGGTCTATAGCCTCTCGGATCCGGACATTTCGGCGTGGCCATTTCGGCGTACGGCCGTTTCGGCGTGGGTCTATTTCGGGGTATAGTCATTTTTTTCATAAAATTATTTTAATCGCGTTTAGATAATATAATGTTAGCATTTATCTCACTTTCGTCGGTGCCGTATGAACTGTATATAATAATAATAATAATAATATATTATATATATATTATACTGTCACACATCATAACCTATATTACGGTATAAGCAATAAAGATATAGCGATATAGGTAGTTAACCTATACGATGTATCGATAGACGATAATTGAGTTATATAAGATAGTCAAGTAGTCAGTAGTTAGAAGTCACCATGGCACAAGCAATCAAACTTTTAATAAGTTTTTAAAAAGGAGAATACAAAGTGGTCGAAATACTTTCTTTTGCAGATAGAAACAGGCAAAAGTCCATAAAAAAAAATACATCGCGACGTTGATAAATGTATTTTAAAATTAGTCAGCGATTATGATAGTCGTAATATTATGAGTTTTTTAAGAGGAATAGCACATAATTTAAGTATGATGAGCTGAATATTGTTATTCATAATTATTATAGCATTCTCTTAAATATATACCTAATTATTATATACAGTTTTTATACAAAAATAATAATATAATTAATATAATTTTTATAGCATTCTCCTTATTTTAAATTATTTATATATTTATATTTTATGGTGACCTATCTAATTTCTTAAAATGGCCTTACGGCCATACGCCGAAACGGCCCTATGCCGAAACGTCCACGCCGAAATGTCCTAGACCGATAGCCTCTGTTCCAAGTTTTGTTGCAATCAGTCAAGC